ACATGGACTTGATGAGCTTTTTTACTAATGAGAACCTCCAATATAATGATTGCTAGGTTGTGTATTTGTAATGTGCAGGTGTATATGGAGATAAGCTGCCCGGATGGTGGAGATGGAGGAAGGAAAACCTTATTCCCTGCCACACATCAAGAAATTCATCCAACTAATATTTTGAGTGTTGTTGGCAATCTTACACCTTGGTCTGATCATAATCAGAGTCCACGTAATATGTATCAGTGTCAGGTATTGAGTTAAATTTGAAATGATCTGTGGATAATGTTATATGGACTGCTGAGGCTCAATACATTATTGTATCTCATGTTTCATCTATTGTGCAGATGGGTAAACAAACAATGGGTTTCTCCTCACAAGCATTAAATTGTCGTGCTGATCAAAAGTTATATCATCTTCAGGTTTGTCCTGGTTATTATTTGCAATTTGATGCGTTCATGAGTTAGTTGTTGCCGGCCCCCAAGTTGAGTTCAATGGCATCCTATTTTAAAAGAGTTTTTGAAGTGCGTTGTTGATTTATATTGAGAATTCGGTGCTTGGGCCAGCACTTTTGTGTAGTTTTTCTTGTGGAAGGGATGTTGAGGCAGAAAGGCAAGAGATGTATGGGATTAGTTAAAGGAATCGCAACATACTGTTTCCATACAGCAGTTTACAGTGAATAGAAGAAATAATGAAAGCATGAATGGATTATGTTATATTTGAAATTGATGCTCATGTTCTTGCTGTTTCAGTGACCAAGGATGTTTGCTACAGTGAGCTGATTTTTTTTATGTGTTATGCATCTTGGTATTATTTATTTTTATCTTGTGAAAATGCGTAGCAAGCAAGCATTCAGCTGAAAGATTCTTTGGGACAGTGGGTAAGGTGGATCATCTTCGAATAGGATAGTTTTATGAGACTATCAGTCAGAGCATGCTTAACATATTCAATAAAACATTCTTTATGGTGTTGTTTTTGCTGTTGTTGGATTACCTGTGGGTATATCTAGTTTCAGATGCTACTGGTTCACATTTTTTTATGTCATTTCCTTGTAACAGCTGTAATTGTTCAGATTTAAGAACTTATGATGATAATTTTCTTGCTTTTGAGATATTATTTTCTCCTGTTTGATCTTTTTTTTTTTTTTTTGGGAAATTGGATCTTTACAGACTCCTCAAACCCCAATTGTACGCACAAAAGCTTATGAGAAGTACTGTGTTGATGACTATCCATTAGGAACAAATGCAATTGTGGCAGTTTTGGCTTATTCAGGGTAAGAGTTCTGTACCGTGCCTTGTTTTTTTTTTCTATCAGCGGAAACATAAAATACATACCTTCATGTTATGCAGATATGACATGGAGGACGCTATGGTCTTAAATAAATCATCTGTAGATCGTGGTATGTGTCATGGGCATATATACCAGGTAATATTTGACATTTTAAAAATCTTTTTGGACTTTGGTTTGATTTAGAAACAACTTTTTTTGTTCAACCTATACCCCCCCCCCCCCCCACCCACCCCACCCCCACCCCCCCCCCCCCGGAAATACAAATACAAAATACATCTTACTGAACTATGATATTTTCCTTTTGATACGACATTGATGGAGTTTTAAGTTTTTGAGTACCAATGATTTGTCTACGACAAGTTTTCAGAAGGATGATTCTCATCAATTCAAAACCTTCTTTCTGAGACCACACACAACACCACGAACTTTGATGCTTGATTGTCTTTTTGTTTCTCTTCTTTAGTCGGAGGGTCGGAGAATGAAAACCAGATCTATCTCTGTTCTTTTTTCCTATTTTGGGTTTTTGGATTCTTATATAATTAATCCCTCCCTTGCTAAACTGCTTATCCTACTACTCTTTGTGGAGGGAGTTTTCTGATCTTTCATGTGGATGTCTTTTATTGACCAATATATGATCTTCTGATTTGCAGACAGAAACCATTGACTTGACTGAGCAAAGCGCCAAATCTGATCGTGCTCAGAGATTGTTTAGAAGAAGCAAGTTGGATAAGTCGTCTCATCAGCTGATTGATACTGATGGTCTTCCATACGTGGGACAGGTAACAGGATATTTTTTTCTTATTTTTTTGGTGAGTCAAGTTGCACCTGAACCAACATGATCATTTGATTGCAGAGGATTAATCCCAATGAGCCATATTGTAGCATTTACAATGAAATAACCAGTCAGACAACTAGTATGAAGTTAAAGGGTTCGGAGCCTGTTGTTGTTGATTATGTTGCTGTTGATGTGAAAAATAAAACACATCTGCAGAAGGTGAGCAATTCCTAGATATATTTGACTCTGTTGTTACTTTTACTGGGTTTCTAATCCACTTTGCTGTTGTTATCCTCTTTGTTAGGATATATAAGTTGGGGTAATTCTTTCATCTTTTGCTTTTCTGTTTCTCTTGAACTCAATGTCAACTTTTATTTAGCATAGATGACTCCTCAGTGAAGTCTCTGTTGTTTGCTATAAGATCTTCGTATTATTGCCAGGTCAATATCTCTCTTTATTTCATTGTATCAAGGTAATTTGATGTTTTCTTGGGTATTCATGTTCTTCAGGGGGTTTTGGTACTATTTACTGTCTTTTCTGTCTTCTAAAGTATGGGATGATTCCTTTGATGCTGCACTTGTAGGTTTATTGTGCTTGTCAAATTTTGCAACTATCGCTATCAGTTTTTTTTTGTTGTCGGTGTAATAACAGAAATTTTGGTAGTTCATAATGGACAATCCTCTCTTCGCTACAAAATTTACTTCTGGTGTCATGACTTCAAAAAGCTTCAAATTTATCAACTTATTTTCATTTGTTCTGGGCAGGCGAATATACGTTTTAGGCGCTCCAGGAATCCTGTAATTGGTGATAAATTTAGCAGCCGACATGGGCAAAAGGGTGTTTGCTCTCAATTATGGCCTGATGTTGATATGCCCTTCTCAGCAGTTACAGGAATGAGGCCAGATCTTATTATTAATCCTCATGCTTTCCCTTCAAGGATGACGATTGCTATGCTGTTGGAGTCAATTGCTGCTAAGGTCTGTTTTCTCTTCTGCCGTATGGTGTTATTTATTTCAAGCAAAAGTATTTTGGTTACGAGATTGTAGCTCTCCAGACAATAATATATTCAAGTAGTTTTTGTGGTAGTTTATATTTGTTTATTGGGTGATGGCTTCATATGCTGAAGATTTCTCTCTCTTATGGAATATATTGTTCATCTAGCTTGACATGGATGATCACAAGAACTTATATATATGCTATCTTCGAACAGGGAGGTGCTTTACATGGGAAGTTTGTTGATGCAACGCCGTTCTCTAACACAATGAAGGAATCAGAATCGGAATCCAGTTCACTGGTGGATGACCTTGGTTCCATGTTAGCGGCTTGTGGCTTCAATCACCATGGTACGGAAGTACTATATAGTGGAGTATATGGGACAGAACTGACTTGTCTAATATTTATTGGACCTGTTTATTATCAGCGTCTGCGACACATGGTTTCTGATAAATTTCAGGTTAGTATCACCTAGATATTAGAGTGAATGATCCTGTCTATTCTTCCTGCCCGCTTTGACCCATTTACGCTGATTTCTGTTTTCATCTAGTGTAGCAAACATTGACTGTTTGATGAATAGCTGTTTACATAACCATCTCCTGTGCTCGACTCTGATGTAAACTGTTAAGTTTGAAAATTGGAAGCTAAAACAAGAAAAGAACGCGATGTTCGTGCTCATCATTGACTTCCAAATGAAACCAAGATCAAGAAATGCTTCCACTACCTAGTTTTCCTTTCCTGCTTGAATAATTCATTTATTACATTATTTATCCTTGTGCACTCTGGGGTTGACAGATTTCATGCTATGGGTCTCTTTTTTCCCATTTAACCCCACCCACCCCCAAAAGGAAACAGATTCAGTTCGATAATTGAACTTCCAAGTATTACTTTATATATCCTTATTCCTTGTCAGGTTAAATTCGGTACTGAATTTGGCTTGTATTGCTGTACAGGTCCGTTCTACTGGACAGGTAGACCATATCACTCGGCAGCCTATCAAAGGGAGAAAGCGTGGTGGAGGTGTCCGCTTTGGTGAAATGGAACGAGATTCACTCCTTGCTCATGGAGCAGCATATTTGCTGCATGATAGACTCCATACAAGCTCAGATCATCACATTGCAGATGTGTGCTCTGAATGTGGAAGTGTCCTAACATCATCTGTTATTCAGCCGCCAAAACGAGCAGTGCAAGTGATTTTGAAACAGCTACCTGCTAGAGAACCCAAAAAGGTTACTTGTGTTGCTTGTCGTTCAAGTAAAGGAATGGAGACTGTTGCAATGCCTTACGTGTTTAAATATTTAGCGGCTGAACTGGCAGCCATGAACATCAAGATGACCCTCAAACTAAGTAATGAGGCTGGAGCTTGATACACATTTCTGGCAGTTGGAATATTCTAATGCCTAGAAGCAAGCAGGGAGCTTGATTACCATTTCATCTGTACCTGTACTTTCTCAATGTGCAATATGTCCAAAAAGGGGTTTGCAGCATCAGATAACGGGATTCTGGCAACAGTGATTTGGTTTAGACATCGGAAGGCCAGTTTCCTAGTGGGCTACCAAGAAAGAAAGTGTGCTGCAAACAAGACCCGCTGCTTTTCATCTCATAATGCAGGATGGGTCAAAATATAGAGATAAAGAATCCCGAGTTTTACAGTTTTGCTGTCTGGCTCAAGAGGTGCAAACACCTCCTTATGATGATGGCCATGTGAAGTGTAGACTAAAATATAGAACTGTGTTTTTTGCTTTATTTGTTATAGCTTTTTGTACATTGTGGGGGCTATATTGTATCATGGCTGAGGCTCTATTGAAGCCAATGTTTTTGTTCATCCCAGTATACTTCTAATTCACTTTCATGAGATAAAATTATTTTGGCCATACAGTAACTTGTAATGTATTTAAATTAAAGGCTATCTTCTAACCTGATGTAGTGACCAAAAGCTAAATCAAGAGTAAATTCATATATTGTCTTGGAATTTTACATAAAACTGCAACTTATAAGAAGGATTAACCATGAAGATGATTATATTGAAATACAGACTGGAAAAATAAAAGTAGAGCTGGACGTTGAGCCTCTTGCATCACAGCATGCTATCAGTTCTGGCTGGTAATCTCTTGAAGAAGTTGCTGGGAACAGAAGGCATCTTGCTTCTGAACCTGGGATGCCTCAACATATATAACCCAGCAACTAAAGCCACCACTCTGAAGGGAGTCACATAAAGCGTAACTGCAGCAAAAAGACTGAACATGATAAACAAGCTTGTTGCTCTTGGATCTCTCCAGCTTAGCACCCCCTGCAGCCTCTCTCCTTGTGTTGCTATGTCACCGACCACGGTCTGAATCCTCCCAGCCACACTTCTCAGCCTATCGTACCTCATTCGAACAATGTCGTGGGGTCTAGACGTTGGAAACGTGTCGAATTCTTCATCAAGCTCATCAGGGTGAGCTGTTTCTGCCCATGAAAGCTTAGTGTCCATGTGAGGAGGGTGCCTTGGCCGGAACCGATAGTTCCACAGTCCAATGAGGAACATATAGAGAAACAGAGTTGGAAGAATCAACTCCGGATACCAGATCAGTATCAGGAAGAGGATGTGAACCAAGACTGAGGTGACTGGATTTTTCCAGTGACATATATCACCAAACCATCGATTAACAGAGATTAAGCCTGAAAGAAGTGACATGATCCTAAAGAAATTAGCCTTGCTTCTTCTCATACTCCACATGTGGGAATCCACATCTAGCATGTACTCTACAACTTCTTTCCTGAGTGGTGGTTCAGCTCTAGCAAGTCTAACAGCAACAATGCTCATAGCTTGGTACCTCAAGTTGTCTACTTGGTTGACAGTAAAGGGATGAAGGTAGTGCATTTTGGGAAGCAAAGGGTGGCCATAAGTATGTATCATGTTGGCTAAAGAGAGGCTTGTGAATCTTACTGCCAATTGGAGTTCCCCCATTTTCTTAACCCCTGATGGGTGCAGAACAAGAAGGGGATAAGAATGAGTGTAAATTCGATGAGATTCTAACGTTGATAATCTTATACGTACCTTCCCTATTCGTGAGTCTCGTGCTGCTCCAGTCCCTTGCTTCTCAACTCCCAAATGACAGTTATCAAAGACACCCAATGTGATAACTGTGGAAGGATCATAAACTTCCCAAGTGTATTGCTCATTCCATTTGGGGCTGAAAGTGTCAAGAATGGTTCTTGTCCTTACCCATTTCTGACCATATTTAGCCACACAATAGGCATCTGTGCTTCCTCTGCTGTCCTTCATCTTCATTGGAAGAAGCCCTTCTGCACCTAATATGCCAACTTCCAATATTCCCACCGGTGGTTTCCACAGCTGTCGTGCTGTTGGCCTTTGATCACTTATGTACATGGTTGATTCATCCAGCACGTGATATCCCCCTTCAAGGCATACTCTGAGGTGAACTCTGCTTGAAAACTTGAGCTCTTTCCTCCTGTCAACTTCCAAGGAACCAAAACCAAACTTCTCAAGGTTGAACCAACGAGAATGGACCGGCCTGTGGTCAAGCCTCTTCTCGAATGTGTTGAGTGGGAAACTTATCTTTCCAAGAATCTCATCTTTCATCGGGTGAACACGGTCCTCAATGCTGAGGACTAGCTGCTCCTCAAAAGGCTCAGCAGCTACAAAAACCAAATCCTCATTCCACATTGGATTTGCTGTTCGAGCAGGGCATATATCGGTTTTGAGCACCTGATTTCCCACCTGGGCTTTCACAAAAACTTCAGGGAGACGGCTCTGGTCATTCGGGATGATGTCTTGAGCTTCAATAACATTTACTCTCAGGTACCAAAGTTTTGGAGAGACATAAACTTTGGACCTGACGCTCATTACCCCCTCTCCATGAACAAAGGCAGCATCTGCATGCCAGGCATCTGAAAATGCTTCATCTGCTTGTGTTCCCATCCAAACAGCAAGCATGATCTCCCCTGTTACTTTCCTTTCTCCTCGTCGATCCTCCAGTCTATACCATTGAGGAGCCAGGGGACTATCAGGAGGAACTCTTGTTGGGACCTCATTCAAGTCAAAAACCACCCTTCCAAAATTATCATCTCTTCCCATCATATCTTTATCCTTCACATAAACTTCAAGAACTGAAGACTGAATTCGATCTTTAGAGAAAGCAAATACCTGGTTCCACTCTGGATTCATTTTCTTATCAAAATGCTTTGTCCTTCCTTTGTAATTCCCCATCTTCACCTCCACATATGGGTCACAGCTACCGGTGAGGACACTTGGTTGAAGATCTTTGGACTTAACCACTCGAACATAAAGATAAAACATCTGCTCCACAAGGTCATATGTGCTTGCATGTCTATCACTGTTCATCCATCCTCTTCCTCCATAACCTCCACCACGTGGCCATTGCTCACCAAGCTGAGGATTCGTGTCCTTCAGCTCATAGTCATCTTTAGGGTGGTTCTGCATAGTTCGGGGTTGGTCTACTTGATACTGCATTGGCGGTTGGACACCTGGCTGGCCATGAATAGCTCGGGGGTGGTCTACTTGATGCTGCATTGGCAGTTGGACACCTGGGTGGCTAGGAATAGCTCGGGGGTGGTCTACTTGATGCTGCATTGTCGGTTGGAAACCTGGTCTCTTCCTTATTGATATGACTGGTTGCTGCATAGCTTGATGCTTGAATAGAAATTGAGATGTTTCTTCAATGTGCTCAACTGATTCTGTGGCCTGCTCACTTGGAGTAAGATGACCAGTTTTTTCTATTACAGCAAAGCTTGAAGACTGATCAGCAGCAGAAATTGCAGTGTTTTCAGTCTTTTGTACTTCTGAACTGTTACTAGCTTTAGGAGTATCAAGACTAGAAACTTCAGAGGCAGGAAGTGAAGGTGGTGGATTATCTAAATGTTCTGGATTTTCGATGGACGGGATATTTGAAGGACTAGAAGATTTTGGGGTTGGCTGGATAGAAGTTTTTTTAGGATATAAATTTGGATCAGATGGTGATGAAATATATATTTTTAGGCCAATCTCTCCTTTAACAAATGAGGAAAACCATTTCTTTTCAAGTTGGAATCTTTGATAAACTTCTTCCCCTTTCTTGACAATATTTGAGCAAGGAATTCTCACCCTTCCAAGAAAGTTTCTCCCTGGTATAGGCCTTCTCTCATGATACACAGAAACATCAATGTATTTGTATCGATGATTTTTGATATCGTCAAGATGGAAAATTAGTTTATGGTTCCAGGTGGGGTTGAGATTTTTTGGGACAGTTCTAGTTTTGCTAAGTTGGTTTTCAAAATCAACTTCTACAAATGCACTTACTGATCCTTCACCATCTTTTGGCATAAGATCATAAGCATCTATTACTTCTACTATTAGCTTCATATCTCCCTCCCTTTTTGTTCTTGTTTTTGCCACCAAGAAATAACTCTTTTCAAGATATCTCAAGACTCAAGTCTCAAGCAACCAGATTCTAATATTTAACAAAGATAGTTTCAGAGTAGTAAGTTAAAGGAATGAAGTAAACAACTTTGTATTTGTTGTTTTTAGTGTAGTATATGAAGGTGCATTCTACAAGAAAAGAATGATTTGATGAAGAAGCTGTTCAATAGTTCTAGGAAAATATTCTATGAAACAGAAATAGAGTGAAAGGAATAATTTTTTTGGCAAAGTAGAAAACAAATTAACAGTACAATGTGATATATGCAGAGAAAAGAAGAGGAAAATGAGAAAAATATAGAAGAAGAATGAATTTGTTAATGTATGCTTGAACATGAAGCAGTTTAACTTATATGTACTGACAATATTATGTACGTCATCACGTTAACATGACCTACAATAACATGTAACTGTCGATATAAGCCTACTGTATTACACTGATCGTGTAAAAATTCTTTATATTATTCAAACCAACCTAGGAAATCTTGGCAAAAAGTGAATGCTGATACTCTTCTAATGGTGTCAAACATACACTTTTGAATTAAGATATACTCTTGCTGGTTAATTTGTTCCACACTTCATTCTCTTTTAGCTTTTATTAGTTACTTTAAGCTAGAAATTGAGAACATTCTAGATGTAGATCCAATGATTATTCTTTTCTTGTTTTATATTCTTGCTTTAAGTCTTGATTTTTTTTTTTATAGTTGCTATGATTACCCCGACTTGAGTAAGTTTAACCACTTTTAGGCAAGAGCTCCTCTCAAGAGCTATGGTCATCCCCAAAAAGATACTATCAGATCGTTTAAAAGATAAAAGTAAAATCTATAACTTGGACAAACCCTCTTCAATATTTTAAAATGCATTGATAGTACGGAATTCTTTTGAGACTGACAATGTATATAGGTTAATCTTGCAACAATCGGCAAAACATAGAGAAAAAGATTTTTTTTTTTAAAAAAAAAAAAAGAGAAGAGAGAATTTAAAAAGGGAAAAGGAGAGAATAAAATGAAAATGCCTTACTTGGATCTTGTGATCTTTTAAGGCATTCCATTCTTGTTAGTAGAGCATGAAGAGAAGCATGTGAGGATCCAAAGATGTCACACACTCAACTGAAGCCCAAAAAAAAGGCTAAAGCAAATACTTAAATTCCCAAAGATGCCTTTTAATGCTTTATTCTTTTCTTAATCACTTCCATAATTACTTCCCTTACTTTGGACTAGAAAAAAGTTGCATTTCCTTTACTCTCTGTTTGGATTATTATTACCTATTGTATTGTATCGTTACCATACCTACAATATTTGTTTTGATTGTTACTTAAAATGTATTGTATTGTATTGTTAAATTTCGTTGTTACATAACAATGGAAACCCCCATTTTATGGAACAACCGATTTGGTGTGTTTTCATTGTTACTTAATTTCTTTTTCCAATTATATCATGACATAATATTTCATAATATTTTTTTACCCTTTACCCTATATTATTTAATTCTAGTCAAACCTCCTACCCTAGAATAATTAAGGATATTTTAGTAAATTTATAAATTACAATACAGTACGATACAGTCAAACCAAACAATAAAAATGTTATTAAACAACAACAAACAATATAGTCTAGCCAAACATTGTATCTACCATATAGTACAGTACAATATAGTACAATACATTACAGTACATTATGAAACAATGGGTAACAATGATCCAAACAGAGTGTTAAAGAATTATTTCAATATTCACCTAGGTTATCTTAGTAATCATATAGAGGATTATATTTTTTATGGGTTTAATTTGTGATAATAATGTATACTAGCACATCTGATTGTTCCCTTTAGTTAAACTGAAATAATTATGTGATGAGGATAGTGTGAATCTTTTGCTATTTGACACTATAAAAAATTAATCTTTAGCGGCAATTAATTAATGCTAGTAGACTAATTGCTGCTAAATTTTTTTAAGAGGCTATTAACACTCTTTGTAAATGTTCCTAAAACTTACAATGACATTGAATTTAATGGTAATTAACTAATATCGTTAAAAATTGTTAATGTGCATATTTTTTATCGCTAAATTATTATTTTTTTACAAAGAAAAAAAATATTATTTTTTGGGGCCAAAATTTTATAGCAAAATCTAATTAATTTGTTTGACATTGCTAGACCTAGTTCAATTTTTCATAAATATTTTAAATGATTGAATTCAATATTGACAAGTACAAATGGTCAAATTATTCCTTGTAATTACTAGAATTCAATATTTAATTAAAACACTACTAATTTTATGCGCAAAACAGGAATTACTTCACCACCAATTCATTCCACGGAGAATTAGTTAGCTTAACTTTGATAATATTATGCAAACTCGCACTATAATTTTATAGTACAGTATATATACTTTTTTTTTTACCCTCCCTAGGAGCTCCCACGCCTTTTTGCTTCCTTGGTGACTTGAACTCGCAACCTTCGGGTTGGAAGTGAGGGGTGCTTACCATCCGAGCAACTCCCTCTCGTCAGTACAACTAGATAATGTTGCCCGTGCTATGCACGGGCCCAATAATATAAATGGTATGTTTTGGGGCTAATAACCGAGTTTTTGAAGCGATTGTTTGCGTGGATAAAGGAATAAGTTTTTTTTTTATCACAAACCTGTACTTTTTTTGACGCTATTTAAGGCATAATAAGACTACCCACATACAACATTTTTGAAATATTTTATGTTGTCAATTACCATGATTTATAGTATTTTTACGATAGATTCACTTCAAGAATCAGTGGAATTTTTTGTATTTTTTTCAAAACATATTTTATGTTGTCAATTATCATGATTTATAGTATTTTTACGCAATTTTAAATATAAAAAAAAACAAAAAAAAAATAAGACAAATAAATTAAAATGGACCCAATATATGTTATTTTTGTTGTCTCAATTTATGTGACACAAATGAAATTTGGAGAGTCATCCAAATTTTCATATGTTTTTTTTTAAAAATTTAAGTTATTAATTATTGTGATTTATAATATTTTTATGTAACTTTGAAATAACGAACATTACTGGTCACATTGTCCTAATTTATGTGATATGGATAAAATTACAAAATTAACCCTTTTAAAATATCTATATTTTAAGTTGTTGATTATTATTATTTATAATACTTTTTTGGTAATTTTAAAATGATATGTGTTATTTTTTCTGTCCCAATATATGTGAGTCTGATACAATTCTGAGAGTCAACCTATTTTATTATATAGCTTTTAAATATTTATTGATAATTATTATAATTTTTAATGCTTTTTAAGTCATTTGTAAATGATATATGTTGCTTCCTTGATTGAGACTTTTCCATTTGTGACATATATATATATATATATATTTCTACTATATTATAAAAGGGAGTTTAGGCCCAATTATTTTTATATATATATATGTCACAAATGGAAAAGTCTCAATCAAGGAAACAACATATATCATTTACAAATGACTTAAAAAGCATTAAAAATTACATTAATTATCAATATATATATATATTATTTTAAAAGGGAGTTTATGCCCAAGTTCTACTATATAATAAATATAATATATAATATTCAAGAAAGTCCCAATTTTGAATATTATATATTATACTTGGGCATAGTAGAAATTTTAAAAGTCCCACAAGTATAGTATATAATATTCAAAATTGGGAAAAGTCTCAATCTTGAATATTATATATTATAATTGGGCCTAAACTCCCTTTTATAATATAGTAGAATATATATACATAATTTGTGTGGAGCTCATAAGTCATAACATGTCACTATATCAAAAATAATTTTTAACGGTAATTTGTTAACGACAATAATTTTACTGCTGCTAAATATGTTTTCTAGAGGCAACTAATTCTCTTATTAAATATCTTTTAAGTCTATAACAACATTGATTTAATTGCAATTAACTACTCCCTCCATCCAACAATACCTGTCCATTATACTAAAAATAGATGTCCATGGAATCCCTCACTCTCAAGTCTCAAGTCCTCCACTTATATATGAACACTATAATTGTGCATCAATAATGAGAATCGTAATATCCTCACGCAAATTGATAAGTCTATTTCATCCTTATCTTGTTTGGTCGTGTTTTTGTATTCAAATTTTGATCTTGTGAGCAGAGGTGGAGCTAAAATTAGGAGTTTGGATTCTAAATTTTAGCATAAAAGATTGATAGTGGGGTTTGAACCCACATCACTAGTGTGGAAGACATTTTCATTGCACCTTCCTTACCACTAATTTGTCAATCAATTGTTGGAGGATTCACATGTTAATATACATATATATTTATTTAAGGGAAAAAGGACAAATATACCTCTGAACTATCGTAAATATTATGCAAATATCCTCCGTCATACTTTTGAGACATTGGTGCCACTGCCGTCCAAAAACTAGAGCATATATGCCCTTCAATCTAACGGAAGACTAAATGGGGACATGCGACACAATCTTATCTGTCAATTTGATATTTAATAAATGTCGGATCGACGGATAGGATTATGACACGTGTATGTCCGTTAGTATAAAGGGTATATATGCTCTAGTTTTTGGACAGCAGGGGTACCAATGTCCCAAAAGTATGACGGAGGGTATTTGCATACCATTTACGATAGTTCGGGGATATATTTGTCCTTTTTTCCTTTATTTAATTTTCTAATACAAATACAAAGTCTACAGAAAAGTTAGTGTGTTTGTCCGAACCCACGAAACCCCACCTAACTCCGCCTCTGATCTTGTGTCTCCGGAGTTTGACAAACTTTATATTTATCCAATAATATCAAATCCAAAACCATCCCAAACTGAGTTACATGTATTGGTCATGTCTCGAAAATGTTAGTGATTCCTTATTATCAGATTGCTATAATCGATTATTCTTACCTCATCAATACATCAATTATTTACCTACTCTAAATCGTTCTCTCCATACAACTTTATCCACAATTTGTTATTAGTTGTCATGCTATAGGGTATTGTTATTACATATTTCCAAGTTAAAAAATAATCTAAGTGTGACTTTAAAGGGTGTGTGGAAGGTTAAATTATTACGTAAGTCTAAACTTCTAGAAACAGAAAGCGTTGACATTATTCCTAAATCCAAATTTATACTCTATGCTAAAAAATAAAAATAAAAAAGAGGAAAGAAGAAGGAAAAACTCAAAAAGCCACCAGGCACCAGCTTTGACATTTTCTTGGTCAAATTTTGTCTACCCTTTTCGTAACTTTTGAGCTTCCAATATGATCCTTTATTCTTTCTGCACATAATTTAAATCTGCAGTCCGAAGAAAGACCATATTTTAACTATACCTCGTGTTTTATCAACGCATTCAATTGCCAGTACTCTGTCTATTGTGAACAATATCTGAGGCAGGGGGGAAACTACCTGATTCAAAGAGAGTTCAATTGAATCAAGTTCATCGTAAAATTATATTGTGCTCTTTTAGCATAGTGGCAAAGATGTTGGCTCAAAAATTGTTTTAGGTTGCAGGTTTGTATTTTTAATTTCCTTGTTAGAATTTCTGAATCGGCGAGTGTGTGTTTTATCCATCCATGGGGGATTGGGTAATTGGAGCGTTAATCAATTTGTTAGGAAGCATTTTCATCAACTTTGGAACAAACCTACTTAAATTAGCTCATGATGAGAGAAATTCAAGGGCTAGGATGAAGCCCATTATATACTTCCAAGCATGGAGAATAGGTATTCTCTTCTTCACAATTGGAAATTGTCTCAATTTCATTTCATTTGGTTATGCTGCTCAATCACTTCTAGCAGCTTTAGGATCTATACAATTCATCTCAAACATCGGATTCGCCTACTTCGTGTTAAACAAAACAGTGACAATCAAATTACTGTTAGCCACTGCTTTTGTTGTTGCTGGAAACATTTTCCTTGTAGCTTTTGGTAATCACCAGTCCCCTGTTTACACAACAGAGCAATTGGGTGAAAATTACATAAACATTGTGTTTCTCGTGTACTGTATCAGTTTGTTCTTAGTTGTTATTTTCCATCATTCAATTTACAAAAGAGGAAAAGGGAAAATGCTGGTTCCATTTTCATATGCAGTTGTTTCTGGTGCAATTGGATCGTGTTCAGTATTGTTTGCGAAGTCTCTTTCAAACATGTTGAGATTGTCAATGTCATCGAGTGTTGATGGTGATGGTGGTGGTGGTGGTTATTCAACACTGCACAGTGGGTTCACGTATTCAATGCTCTTGATGTTTATAAGTACAGGTGGATTTTGGATGGCGAGGTTAAATGAAGGGCTATCGCGATTTGATGCAATTCTTATTGTCCCTATGTTTCAAATTGCTTGGACGTTTTTCTCAATTTGTACTGGATTTGTCTACTTTGAGGAATACAAGGTGTTTGATGCTTTAAGAACAACTATGTTCGTTCTTGGAATGATTTCTGTGTTTGTTGGCATTTATTTGCTAGCACCGGAGGATGATGAAGTATTGAAGGATGGTTCTTTAGAAGTGGAGAGGCTTTTCATGCCATCTGATCAAATTAGGGATATAGAGATCATTTGGACGAGATATGCTGATGAAAACTGCTGATATGATTGGACTACGCGAGCGCCAGGTCATTGGTGTGTGGTGACGGACATGACAATGACACATGCAATTATCTGTCTCGTCGAAAAATTATATTGTGTATATAAAAGCAATTTTTGTGTGTATATACATTGGTAAATTCCTTTTGATAGTAGTGAAGCTTCTATTGTAATTGGCAAAAGTAGCTTGAAATTTTGTTTTAGGTTGCTAATTAACTCATGAGGTACTAGTGTATCTTTGCATTTCTTCCTCCTTATATATATGGAAAAAATAATCAACAATTCAGCCTTTACTTTTCCGTTCAATGTTTGTTATATGTATTAGGGCCTTATAAAATCTTATCAATTCCTCGTCATAATAAAGTGCTTTCAATCCATGACAATACTACTCATCTAATTCACTTATTAGAAAAAATAACTTCTTTGCATATTCATCCTAGATGTAGTCTCCGTAACATAATTGGACTTCTTTTATAATGTTACTGATCACGTCGAAAATTTGAATTATAAGTGTTCCTTTTCGAGACATATTATAAGTCAATTGAAGAGCAAAGCATACATTGACATCCAATGATAAAATTCTTCACAAAATCTAGTTCTTAATTCCGTTATAAATGTTGTTACTTAATCGTTATTTATCATTTATGTAAAATTAATATTTTGAGCTAAGTGGAGTATGAAGATAATTTTTTTTTACTTTTAATTATTAATGATTTATCTTGAATTGAATATATGAATCAACAATTTCAAATGGTGCTATGTTTATCTGTTATTTGTCTTGAGCAAACAATAATTATCAGGATATGAGATTACTAATAATTTTCAGATTGACAAAATGGCATGTTCAACTATAGTCCACTTTTAGTTGGTAACTGTAAGCATTTATATTGATATCTATTTTATCTCACGATCAAGAGTAAATAAATACTATAAAAAAAAAGGTTTCAAGATTCATATAAGGTGTTTTTAAAATAATACTAGTTGATTGACTTTATTATTCTAAAAAACAAAGTTAAAAAGTAAATGAGTACTATAAAAAAGAGATTTCAAGGTGTTCATACCATAGTTGATTGACTTTATTGTTCTAAAAATAAATAAAAGTTACTTTGATAGGATATCTTCATGAGTTAAGTATTTTTCCTATCATAAAAAGAACAAAAATAATTTTAACAAGATATTTTCATAAACTTAGTGACTATCCAAAGAATTAACTCAACATAACTTACGTAAAATATTATATAACTCCGTTGACTTCTAATACGATATAGTAACTCTTTTTACTTCTCCCTATCCTCTTAATATTTTGAATTTAAAAAATAATATCCTTCACATTTCGATTAATACGATGAATTTCCTTTGATCTTAGATCAATAACTAAAATAAATTAGATTATAATACTTTTTTAAGATGTCAAGTAATTACCAAAGCATATATTAACAAAATGGAATGTAAGTTTATCGGAATAATAAGTTTATATAATTATTCACAGATTATTATAATGATTTAATAGAGTTCAAAAATGATAAGAAAGATAAAATCTGTATTTAAATGAAATTAATATGTATAAACTTTATCCTTATATATTACTTACTTAAAATTAGAAGATGGGGTGAAAGTGAAATCATAATATATACATTACTAAAATGTTTTTATTTCGGAATTATTAATGTTTAAAGCTCCTCTTTCTTGGAGAAAAAGAAAGTTTAATTTTTGTTTCCACACTGTTCTAAACATTTGCGTATGCCCTAGATTCACTTTATAGAACACAAAAGATCTATATATTTGTCAAATAAGCCCCTGTATTTCAGTCTAATACCCAATTAGGCCCTGTGAAAGGGCTTCCACAAAAGAAGGAGCCTCTGATACTACTTCCGCCATTAAACTAGAACCTTCCATTGCAAAGCTCGCAAAGAAGCTTGAGGCTTGTGGGTAGACGTCTATATTCTCTATCAAAACCCCATCAATTGAAAAGGCCAATCTCTTTTCACTTGACCAACTAGGGTTTTTCTAGGGTTTATTATAGTTGAGAACCCTTTTACTTTCTGTTTTGCTTTAGATTTTTTCAGTGTACTGAAATGGTCAGCTCAAATGGTCTTCGTCTTGCTCACCGGCTTGCTCGCTGCACCTTTTCTTCTGTATTGTCCTCTCCTTCTCTCTCTGTCTCTCTCTCCATTTATTTTTTTGTATATTGATGTGTGAGCAATGTTAAATTTGTAGGTTACTGGATCTTTGTTAAAGGGTGGTTGTAGGGGGTATAACACGGCAGTGTGCAATCAAACAAGGGGATTGTTTTATTTCAATTCTAAGAATGGTATGGGTAAATTGACCTTCTGTTTGTAGCTATGGATGCATAATTCATTTGCTTTAAAAAAAATTGAATTTGATTTTTGATATTGTGTACTCATAGGGGGCAGCGAAAGGGATTGGTTAAGACTTGGGCAATTCAAATCCAATTTTGGTGCCACAAGATCAATTCATGGAACAGGTACCAGTTAACCACTCCCTTCCAAGTATTGAGCTTCCATTATCTCGCTTCTGAATATGGCCTTGTCTACATTTATGTCTCTCTATCCGTGCCTCATTTAATGATCTTGAGGAATTATCTGTTTTGTGTTAGTCAGTTGGTCTACTGCTCTACTTGAATGTAGTAAATTTTAGGTCTTTATGGACTCTAAATTGGAGTTCTTGTGTAAAACAGATGAATTGATGGGTAAAATATTTCTGTAGATTTTTCTCATTAGGCTAATGGGACCAGATAAAATACCTTGTTTTACCATCATGTTCCTTGTTGCCAGTCGATAGCATAGATTGTGGCAATCTAGCTATAATTTCTTCTGGATGTGTTTAATGTTATTTCTAGGGGTTAGTTTCATTAGGTAAATCGGTTGTTAACTTGCTGTCCTTTGACTATTTTTCCATGTTAATTGAAAAACATTTGGCCTCTAAAACCCAGTGTTGTAAAAAGCGCAAAAAAGCGCGCTTAAAGCGAGAAGCGAGGCGAGGCGAGGCCCTTGCGCTTTTATTTCGTGAAGCGAGGCGACATTGAAAAGGCGCTCGCTTCTACTGTAGAAGCGAGAAGCGCAGAAAAGCAAAAGCGTAAAAAAAGCGCGCTTAATTTGAAAAAGCGCAAATTAGGGTTTTTTTTTTTTTTTTTTTTGACAAGGTAACAGTTTAGGGTTTCTTTTTTTAAAATTGTAAGTTTTTTTTTTTTTTTAATTGCTGAAATCCTTATGCGACTTAATATACTCTTTGCGACTTCAAATTCTTTTTTGGACTGCTCTTTTCCTTCTTCTTCTCTGCTGCATGAGTTCTCCTTCTTCTTCTCTGCTGCGACTGCTCTTCTCCTTCTTCTTCTCTGCTGCGTAAGTTTTCTTCTTCTCTTCTTCTTTGCAACTGATCTGCGATTTTTTTTCTATTTTTGGTTGCTGCCAGGTTGCCACTGCTGTAAGTTCTCTTCTTCTTCTTCTTCTCCTCCTTCTCTTCTTCTCTTTGAGGCTGCTGCTACTGCTTTTTTTTTTTTGGTTGCTGCTGGGTGTTATCTATATTTTTATTGCTGCATTTTTTTTTTCCAATTTCTGTTTGCTGCTCTGTTTTTCAATCTCTATTACTGACCTGCTTTTTTTTTCAATTAATATTACTGCTCTGTTTTTTCCAATTCTTTTGCTGCTCTGTTTTCTTTCCACTTGAAGAGTTTGAGGATCTTGTTGAAGAATAGGAGTTTGATTCTTTTGTGATTTAATTATGTTTTTGATTTTTTGCTTTATATGTTATGACTTATGAGTATTATTGACTATCTATTTACTTTTAATCTAAGAATATATTACCTCTATTCAGTTATTTAATATTTTTTTATTTTTATACTAAATATCGCTTTACTTAAAAAAAGCGCGCGCTTCGCTTCTCGCTTCTCGCTTCTGTGAAGCGAGCCCTCGTCGCTTTTTTCCGCTTCTCGCTTCCCAAAACACTGCAGTAAAACCTGATGAGTACTCATTATGCATGTTCATAGAGACCGGTAAGACGGAGGTAGAAATTGTCACACTTCCACGGCGTTTCTTGGTTTCTTCTGTAAATTGCAAGTCTGCAACTTTTTTCCAAGAAGAGGTAAAAAAAAGTGGTACAGAAGCTCTAGCTAGCAGGCAGAGCTTGTTTATGCCTTCTATGGAGAATGATGGTAGGCAGATAGATAGGGTGTGTGTTTGTGTGTGTGTATATATGTGTATGTGTGTGTGATTATTTAGAGGGGGGGGGGGGGGAGAGAGAACAGCTTGTGTATAATTGGAAGAGGAAAGCTCATAGCAGAGATAGTCTAAATTTATTTTTCTTATGCCCAATGGTGCATTCTGAGTTTCTCCCAGAGAGTGGAGGTGAGGTGAAGATTAGTCACATCTACTGGTTTCTTCCTTTAAATCGATAGATTCTCTTTTTTAATTGTGAAAAAAATAAAAAAACTTTTTAATTGCTCTCTATTTTCCCCTTCAAAATTGTTGAATGAGATCTGTTATTATGTATACTAGTAGGTGAATTATTCTTTCTAAATAAATTTAGTAAGTAAATTGTTGAAGTAACAACTTGATATAAAACTTTCCATCTCACAAAAAAGTAAAAATTGTGCTCCCAGGGCTATGGTCTAGTTGTAAGAGTGCAGCGTGTGATGTGTGGGTTAACCGCACGTCGTGAGTTCGAACCCTGCTCTAGGCAAAAGTCAGGTATTTAAGTGAAGAAGGGGGTAGAGGGGCGGGCCCATTATCCAATTTATATAAACGTTATCAAAAAGTAACAAATTCCTGGTTGAAAATGTTTCATATAGGGCATGCTTTCATTATCTTGGTTTCCAGGATGTGCAATGGTTACATCTTACTCTGTTAATAACATATATGTGACTAATTTACCCATGTGAATGGTATATCTGTGTATCTGGAAGCAGATAAGATTTGTATTATAAATTATTGTTCACTGTGAAATGCTTTCCATATCTGTGTATCTGGAAGCAGATAAGATTTGTAT